CTCCGGTTGTGTGCAAGTTGGCTGGTAGGAGGGCCCTTGGCAGCTGGCACTGAGTTAGCACCAGTTATCTGCATGGGGGGAGTTGGTGGGAGGCTGATTCGATGCTCTTGTCTTGGGGCTGTCCCCCAGCTAAAAGGCTAAGGCAGTGGCAGAGATGGAGGGTTCCGAGAGGATCGGCAGGCCCTGGAAATACAACAACAACAACAACAACAACAACCACATTGTCCTTGAGGGCAGAAGTGGACAGAATAAGTAAAGGGTGTCTCTACAACTTGGTGCCCGCTCACTGGGGAGTTCCAGAAAGGGAGACAGGAAGAAGAGCACCTGCCACGTCTCTGGCAGGACGGGGTCGTCTGATCTGGGGAAGATCCCATGGGTCCAACTGCCGCATTGGGTTGGCGGGGCCTTGGGAGCCCAGGGAAGGAAAGGCAGCCTGTTCCTGGTCAGCCCAGAAGTTGGTGGCAGAAAGAGAGAGGTTGATGTCCTGGTTAGATGGTTGGCTCCTCAAGGGGCGATGTCTCTGTGCACAGAGCACCGGGGAGAGAACACGGTTTCCTTCAGCCACCCCGAGAGTGCCCAGAAGTATAGATCAAGAGTCAGTAAACCACAGCCCGTGGGCCACATCCGGCCCTACAGTCTTTTTTTTGTAAATAAAGTTTTATTAGAATGCAGCCATACCCATTTGTTTCTGGGCTGCCTGAGGCTGCTTTCACACTGCTCTGCCCAGCTGAGGAGTCACTAGAGATTGTATGAAGGCCAAAATATTTACTGTCTGGCCCTTGATAGAAAAAAAAAAAAGCTGTGGATCCGTTGTGTGGACGCTTGCTGGAGAGTATCTTATACAGAAATTATGTAGAGGTTTTATGCACATTTTAGTATTATGATTAAATGTATATACCTATTTCAAATGGATTCCACAGATCCGAAAACTGACAGCAGCAAAGCTTTCCCAGTGGTGGTGGGGAGAGGAAGAGCCTGCCCACGCCTGGTGTCCCCTGCCCCTGCTCTGCCCCCAAGAAGGGCTGCCAGACTAGAATACAGGACATCCGCTTACATTTGGATTCCACATACACAATGACTTAAAAAAAAAAAAAAGAATAAGTATATCCCAAATTTGAGTGAATCACACTTATACATATATTTCTGATTTTTACTTCTATTTGCTAAATCTGGCAACCCAGCCCTTGAGCCACTTCAGAGGAAGCACGTCAGAAAAAAAAGCTTTGGTCTCTGGAAGAGATTTCAAATTCCTTAGCCTGGCATTTCAGATCTGTCTTTGGCCAAAGTCTGCAGCGCATCGCCCGCTCCGAGCTCTCCGTGCACCAAGCTCTCCGTGCACTTCCATCCTTCAGCCTCCAGCTCTACGGAGCTCCTTCCAGCATCCTCACCTACCTGGTGTCCTCGCACCTGGGTGCTCCTGCCTACACTAGCTCCCCCTACCTGTCACTTCTGTCACCCTCTGTCACCTTGCCCCTCGCTCAGCTTTGCCTCTTGACCCGGGTGGCAGAAGCACCTCTCACTAGGTGTCAGGCGACAGAGTCACCCCGTGCAGGTAAGCTGAACCCGGGGAACAACAGATGCAGATCTCTGGCCTAGGCTCCTCATGAAGTGTGGCTCATGGACGGGAGTGTTGGCAAAGTCATCCTGGGGCCAAGGCTTGAAGGGCTTCTTCATCTTTTCCAGGGCACTCCTCCCTGGTCCTTTCCAGAAGATCAGAGCCTTTCACTGGCAACCTGCCTCCGACCAAATGAATGTAGGAAGCAGACTTCTGGAAGGCGGGCCTTGGCGAGGGCTCTGGTGGACGTGTGACTCCCCCCACCCAGTGTGGGGGGCTCCAGGTGCCTCTGGGGAGCAGGAAGGGGAGCAGGAGGGCAGGGGCCTTGGAGGACCAAGGGTGGTAGGGGGAGGCTGCCTAATGGGTCTGCTTACTTCCATTTGCCCAGGGTTACCTTTAAATGGAATAAAATGATCCACTCACTAATCCCTTTTATTTCCATTCAGTGCTTCTAGAAAAGGCTTACTTGACACTTTAGGAGGAGGGGAAAAAAGATAAGCGAGACAGAATTTTCAGTAGAAATCTCAGGATGGAGGACTCACAGTGAATGCAGCATTTGGTGCTTCTTTGTGTCTCTGTAAATGAGATCAGGTGAGGGGAGAAGGTAGGCCCCACGCCTCGCCCTCTGGCAGCAAGTATGCCAGCGTCTCCTCTGCATGGCCCCGTTTGGGGGAAGGCTTTGGCCACCTGGCACATGTCTCCACCCTCCCACCCCCCATGATGGGCAAGGTTTGTACCTCCCGCTCCTCATGGGCAACTTCAAAGTCCATGTAAAGAAGTAGTCCAGACAGGGCCACTAGTTTTGTTTTGTTTTATTTATTTTATTTAAGAGAGTGGGAGAGAGCGTGTGCAAGTGGGAGTGGGCAGTTAGGGCAGAGGGGGAGAGGAAGAGAGAATCTCAAGCAGACTCCACGCTGAGTTCAGAGCCTGATGCGGGGCTCGATCTCAGGGTCCTGAGATCACATCCTGAGCCAAAATCAAGAGTCAGATGCTTAACCAGCTGAGTCCCCCCAGGCGCCCCCAGAGATGACCATTCATTTGAAATATGCGTTGTTCCCTGGACCATGGCCATCTCCTTAAGAGACGTATCCAGGGGTGGATTTGTCAAACCAGATGCTTTTGATGACATTGCCAGACTGCCTCTGCTCAAGCCTTGGCTTCACCATCTACTCTGCTTGTGACCGTGCAAAATGCTTCCCTGTGTGTGCCTCCGTTTCTTTATCTGAAAGACGAGATAATAACAGTACCCACCCCCTCTAAGGTTGTCGTGAAGAATTCAAGTTTTCACTAAACTGTTCAACACATAGAGAACACTCCGGAAACTTTAGCCACTACCATTATTGTTATTCTCAGAGCACCCCCCCAAAAAGCGGTGCCAGTTTCTGTGACTGGCAGCACTTCTTGAAGGGTTTCAGCGCAAACAGGATAGAGGGAGCTGGCTTCCTGTCCTGGGTCTTGTTCTGACACGCATGTGATCTTGCTGTGTCCTGGTCTCTCTTTCTGAGTGTCAGGTTTTCATCTGTTCAATTAGCCCGTGGTCTTAGGTGATCACCAAAATCCCTTCCAAGTGATGAACTGAGGAATAGAAATGGCCAGAAAGCAAGGCACTCCTTTCAATAGGACAGACATGCCTTTTGAGATCTTTCAAATGACTCAAGAAAACCTGTTGGTGAAGTAGAGATAAACCTCACTCCTGGCTGACGAAATGTTCTGAGCCATGTGGGGCTACCTGGTTTCCTACACGTCATAGACATTGATTGGAAGGCGCCATGGGCAAGGTTCAGGCTTGAGGAAATGGAAATCACGCAAGCCTTCATCCATGGGCTTGCAGAACGCACGGTTATGGGATCCCAGGTGCACACCAATCACCGGTTCTGGGCACAGAGAATTTGACTTTGAGAAAGATAGACAAGGGCTCCTCTGCACAGAAGTTTACATTCTGGAGTAGGAGGCAGGTCAACAAGTATGATAATAAGTAGACTGATTTCAGGCCATGATGACGGCTATGAAGGTAAAACTGTGCTGGACCGGGCCAGAGGCTGTGGCAAAGGAGGAGGGAAAGGCAAAGTCATCCTGGGGCCAAGGCTTGAGGGGCTTCTTCTGACAAGGGAGGGTTTCCTGGAGGAGATGATGTTTGAACTTGGGCCTGAACAATGAGAAGGATCTAGCCACGCAGAGGGCTGCAGGTGGACGCCAGCTGGGCCTGTCTTAGGCACTGAGAACAGTGTGGCTGGGGCAGAGTGAGGAAGGGAAGAGCGGTAGGAGGGAGGTCAGAGAGTGGAATGGTGAGGATTCAAGCTGCCCAGCCCCGATGCTAGCACACAGGAGGTCCTTCACAACCGTTCCCTGTTTCCGAGAGCTCACCTGGTACAGGGAACACGAGCGGGGTGAGAGACGAGTGCTGCCAGACGATCTTGGGATCTTTTCCAGACTCATAGATTTGTGAATAAGAGGCTCGAAAACGATTGCTGATTTTAGTAGGGGAAACACTGTCACTTCCAGTCCTGCTTTTATTATTAATTGATTTAGCAATAGCCAATGCAAATGTGCCCAGAATTATGACCAGTTTGTGTTAGGGAGATGCTATTGTACTTCCAGAGATAGGTCTAAATTTCTCCATAAAAATGCAAAGGTGAATTCCAGGCTCAGAACTCCTTTCTTGAATTTGGGGTGTATCTGACAGCACTCTGATATTAGCAAAATTGTAAGTTCAGCAGAATTTCTTTTATACACATGGTAATAACTTCTCTGGTCCCGGCCCCCTGCCCTGTGCTGCCTGGTTTCCCAGGGCCCTTCTGGCTGCCCAGGGACCCCGAGGTTGGCCCAGTGGTTCCCAAGGCAGGTCCTCTCCACACTCATGGAGTTACAGGTCGGGGAGCCCAGGCCCCCATTTCACAAAAGAGAAGCTGAGGTCAGTGAGGGAAAGTGACTTCTCCACCACAGCTCTTAGGGGTAGAATCTGGCACAAGGATATCTCCACAGGCCCCTTAAACCACAGCCCACGCAGAGCAGCTGCCCTTCCCAGACCAGTTCTGCGATAATAACTGCGATGAATTCATCAACCGATTCATTCAAAAGACAATCACTGGGCAGCCCTGGTGGCGCAGCGGTTTGGCGCCGCCTGCAGCCCAGGGCGTGATCCTGGAGACCCGGGATCGAGTCCCATGTCGGGCTCCCTGCATGGAGCCTGCTTCTCCCTCTGCCTGTGTCTCTGCCTCTCTCTCTCTCTCTCTCTCTCTGTCTCTATGAATAAATAAAGTCTTAAAAAAAAGGCAATCACTGATGGCTCCTTGTGCCAGGTGATGTTCGAGGCCTTAGGGAAATGGGGGAGCATAAGGTTAAATCTCTGTTCTCAGGGAGGGCTGGCAGTGTGAACAGAGGCAAACCAACGGGGAAAAGCCCCATTCGCATCATCCTCATCCTCATGGCCATCTCTGTTTTACAGGCTGCTGCGGGAATGAACACCGCGTGGCTGGGGGCAGGACTGGAGGTTTAGCAGCGCAGGTGACACCTGAGACGTAAAGAAGCGACTGCGTTTGCTGCACCCAGAGGTAGGAAATCATCTGAAGCACGAAGTGTAGGAGGGGCGTGGCTGGAAGGGCCAGACGGGGAGCCTGGGGCCAGACCCGGAGGGCGTTCAAACACCTGGCCAAATGCCCAGCAGCACGATGGCTCACACCACCCTTCTGCTACCCGCCCTTCCCTCCCTCCTTTCTGGCTTGCCCTTCCCCCACTGTCTGTGTTTCCGGTCTGGTTGCCAATCAACCTTCCCTCTCCCCACTTAAGAGTGAGCATGGGACCTAGAAATGACCATTCCCAGAGCCTCACCCAGGTGGCTGCTGTGACTGCTGCAGGTGTAGGCACACGGTGCAAGCGGGGCCAATCAGAGCCCTGCTCCGGGGTTTTATGAATGGAGGCCCGGGGAGGGAAAGGCTGTTTCCCTGGGCTGCTGAAAACCTGGGGCCATTTTTGGCTCTGACCACCTGTCTGTCTGGTCATTTGGGAGAGAAGATGAGCTGGGCTTCTGACCTTGTGTTATGTCCATGGAAATGGGTTTCCTCCCCATGCTTGTAATCACTAACCCCCTGGTTACATCCTTACCTGAAGCAGGTGCCCCCCTGCGGCGGCCGGCCCTCCCCTGGCACGGCCAGGCTTTCCCCACCCCGGCCCTCTTGCCTTTCCCGACTCATCCTGAAGGATAAGTTTTCCTCACCTCCGCAGGAGTGCTCCGAAGCTCCGCTTTGCTGGAGGGACTGGGACGCCTCACTGCTCGTCACAGTTCTCAGGAAGCCGGGGCTCTCTCAATTATTCATTAGGCAGACTTTTTCCATCAAAGGGCCTGAAATTCTGAAAACTTTTCCCTGCCACGCATAGTTGCCTGCTGGGAGAGTCGCAGGGTCCTACCAAATTAGTGAGCCCAGGAGAGACCTGAGCGTGTGCTGCTCCCAACGGGATCAAGCCTGGCTGGGTTGTTCTAAAACAGGAGGGGAAGGCTGACCTGGTTTGGGGCTGGTTATTTGGGGCCGGCTTTCCGGGGCTGCTCCCCAGGGTGCTCGCTGGGTGAGGGCTCAGGGCAGGACCAGCAGGAGGTTGGGGAGCTGCTATCCAGTGGGTGGGCAGAGCTGAGTGAGACGCTGTTCAGAGGAGGGTGGATATTTCTGCCCTTGGCTGTGTCCATGAGGGTGAAGACCCCGTGAGAGGGGCCGTTGGTTACTGAGGCCCGACTCTCCCCCACCAGCCCCGGCCTGTGTCACCCCAGGATTTCCTGACACTCAAATCTATTTGAGTACATGCCTATTAGTTTTGCACTCAACTAAAGTCAACAGCCTTTACAGGTCTGGCTCATGGAGCTTTCCAGCTGGAGGGGGCGTCAGAAGTCATGAGCGTGCAGCTTCAGAGGTGTAGCTTGCTTTCAGCTTCGACATTTCTGGAGTCCCTCGCCTTAGAATATAGCAGCCCAGCTCTTTAGCACAGATTTGAGGTCTGTCACTTCCAGCCCCACTTCTGGCTACAATAAACATTTCCCCAACATGCTGTAAACCTGCACTGCTCTGGTCCTTTGCACCCGCCCGAGCTCTCTTCCTCTCTCCACCTGCTGTGATTCTAAGCATCTGCCAAGCATAGACCAGGTGTCTCATCCTCCCTGGAGCCCTTCCCCGCCCTCCCCAGGCAGAACTCACTTGTCTGCCCTCCATCTCCTTATTGGGACCTCAGTTTGAAGGTTTGCCTCTTCGAAAGTCCTTCACCGATGTGCCCACCCCGTGCACGCTGCCGGCCCCACCCAGAGCCGGGTTCCACCGTCACCCTGTGGCGCCTTCCTCCCAGCACCCTCCTGCCTGGCACACTCCCGTCCTGCGTCGTCCCCCTGTCCTTCCTGCCTCCCCGCCCCAGACACAGGCCCCTCGCTGGTCACCGCTGCACCCCAGAACCCCAGCACCCCCCGTGGGCCCGCGCCTAGCAGACCCTCAGGAAGCCTATTTGGCAGGAGCAGACCGAGTAGGCCCTCCTCTGGCGTCACACGTTTTCTCCCCGGGGACGGGCCCCTGTCCCCAGCAGCAGCCAGAGCCCGGGTGCCTCCGTGGACCCTACCCCGCGGCAGGAGGCGGCTGGGAGCCCCCAGGCATGCGCAGCGGCCCCCCCACCCCCCCTCCGGCCTCCTAATAGCAGCTGCGTTTTGAGAGTTTGGAGAAGGAGGCTTAAGCCCCGCCAAGTGGGTAAATCACGTGGATAAATGGCCAAGCACGGATTTGCACAGCAGCCTGCGACAGACACATCTTCAGGGGCGCTCGGGCAGGAGCCGGTGCCTTGGGCAAAGGGCGCCCTGGCGGGAGAGGCCGACGAGGGCAGGCTGGGGGCTGAGCCCAGCCGCGTGCACCCCGCGCTGCCTGTCCTGGGGCTCCCAGGGAAGCGGCCTGCTCTGGCCCATGGTGTCCAGGTCCGTCCTCGGCTTCCCTCCCTCCTGCCCACGCGCTACCTTGGAGGACACAGGGCAGGTCTGTCCCCGGGAGCCCGGGCCGCGCACAGCGGGTCCATCGTCACTGCTGGGCCCTCTCCTGCCTGCAGCTCCAGGGGATCAGCGGGGTTCCGGGGGTCCTCGGTGCGTCCCACGGGCTCACGGGGCTGGGGTGCCAGGGCTCAGGCTTGGGCTGTTGCTCAGTGAGGAAAGAAGGGCTCCCTCACCGTCAGGTTGAGAGGGGCTTGGTGGCAGTCCACTGGGGACACCTGGGCAGCCCGAAGGGGGAGCGGGGACAGATAGGGGGAGGCAGTGACTCGGGGGTGGATCCTAGGAGTGCAGTGAACGCCCAGATCTCTGTGGGTGGACGGGGCTCAGCACCTGCTGGCGGCCAGGCACAGCACCTGCCTGACATTTGTCACCTCACTCAGCCGGTGAGGCAGGTGGGAGCCCATTGCCCACATGAAGAAAGTAAGACCTCAGAGAGGGTGAGCCATTTGTCCAGCGTCCCACAGCTAATCTCTCCTCCACACAATACTGGCCACCTGGGAAAAGACGGCCCAGCTTCCCTGCTTTTGCACCAGCCAGAGATCCCCCAATTGCACCTGCCTCCCCACCGTGGGGCTGGAGGGAAGAGGGAAGGATGCAGGGCAGGATCTTTCTTGGGGTCTGAGATGCATACCTGGGTTCTGCTCATCAGGAGACGACCTGTTGTGTCATAGCCCCGCCCCATGCTGTACCCCCTCCCACCACCACTAATGGATTGAGGCAATTCGTTGGAAAGAAAATATGAGACTTATGGCTGCTGGGTTAGTGCCTCAGTGGTGCCTCATCCAGAGGCAGGCTGCACAGAGCTGCGGGACTATACGTGCTTTGCTTCCTGACGTCCCTGCTCATGGCAGCTCTTCCCCAGCGCCTGGGGCAGCTCCTGGCTCCCATTGGTGTCCCCAAGCCTGTCCTTCCTTCTTAACTCCTTTAGAACTCATTGTCTCCAGGGGAGCTGTCCCTCCATGCTGAGCTCCCCTCACCCTGCCCTAGACTTTTTGGGCTTCTCATTTCTGCACCCTCCAGTTCCCATTTCCTGGGGGCTTCAGGACTGGGCTAGAAGCTTGGGAGCCTTGGGTTCAGTAGCCATAGCAACTGGTCCTCTCTGGCTGGGGTCCTGTCTCTACCACCTCCACCTTGGACCAACCTCATAAAACCTGCCTGGACTCCACTGGGTCCCCCTCTACTATTGCCTCCTCTTCTCATTCATTTCCATGGCAGCCAGGAAGATCTTCCTGAAAGCTGAATCATTAAAGTCCTTCTCCTGCTTAAACTCTCTAGTGGCTCCCACCACCCCCACCAGCCCGCACTTTGTGTGAAGTCTGAACACTCATCATGGGAGAATTGGAGAATTCTGTATGGTCTTTGCGGGGAGTGGATGACTAATGAGAGAGGTTATTGAAGGGAGTTTGATGGAGGGACGATCCCCGAGGTGTGGACAGGATACAGGAAACCGGGAGGGGCTGATGGGGCACCTGGGAGCCAGCAGCTGTGAGGACCTGGGTTCATCCCCAACCTGATGGGGCCAGAGGAGGGAGCGGTTACCAGCCCCAGAGAGAGCAGCAGGCAGGGGACAGGGGTTGCCCGATAGATGGAGCTGGGGCCCTGGGGAAGCTGTAGCCACTGCCAACCGTGGCTTGGAGGAGGGAGCCCAGGAGTGAGCACTTGCCCTTACACCCCCGCCCTTGGTCTTCTCTGCTGCTTCCAGGACCAGATAGAAGCCAGGGCCCAGGAGGGCACAGGGCCCCATCCTTGAACCCCTGGAGGGTCTCTGGGCACAGAGCAGGGGAGGTGGCGAGGTGGGTCTGGAGGGCACATGAAGGAGGGCAGTATGTGTGGCTTCGGAGGCTGAATCAGATCTGCCTCTGCCTGCCCCCCACCCTAGACCTTGTCTCCTGCCCTTTGCCCCCTACTCACCATTTCCACCACCCTGGCCTTTGTTCAATTTCTTCTTCCTCCCTCAGGACCTTTGCACTTGTTCTTTCCTCTCCCTGGGAGGCTTTTCTTCCTCATCCTCTGAGGACATTGAAATCTCAGCAGTAATGTCATCTCCTCCTAGGGCCGATCCAATCACCCAGCCTACCGTGTCCCTCTGCCCCTCCACTACTTCTGTCTCCCTGCCCTGCTTTATTGTCATCATAGCACCCATCACTATGCAACATCTGCTGCTGGACTTCTTTGTTTAGCTGGACCACCCATGCCAAGAGACCCATGCCAGGTCTCTCCTGTGCCTGCCATATCCTCGGCACCAAGGGCAGTGTCTGCATACATTAGGTGATTAATGGTTGCTTCTCGAATGACTGTCTAATAACAAGGCAGGAGAGGGGAGCGGGTAAGAGCACAGGCTTTGCCGTGACATGGTCTGTGTGTGAAGCCCAGCTTCACCACCTTCTTAGCTGTGTTACCTCAGTCAAGTTGCTTGACCAAGCCTCTCTGTTCCTCAGTTTCCTCATCTGTTAAATGGGAATAATAAGACAATGTGCCTCTCCAGGTTGTTGTAACAATTAAGTGAGTAATCGTGCAGCACTGCCCTGGCCTGTGGTCGTAGGTGGAACATGAGGATGTGCTCTTATTCTTGATCTCAGCATCTGAGCTCTGCCTTGGTCCTCCTTCCCAGACCCCACACCCTCCAGGACTGTGGAGGTCAGCCCCTCCTCCTACCTCACATACCTCCAAGCTGTGCAGAATTTCCAAGGAGGGCCTAGACCTCCACTTCAGGCTCTGGCCACCCTCCCGGCCTCACACAAAGCCTTCCTGTCTCCTTTCTGGGCAGCAGCGGGGAATCTTCAGCTCCTCAGAGGAGCCCTGCTTCTCCTTGCTCTGGAGAGGACATCCCCCCTGTTCATCCTGCTTGCCCCTGGGCCCCTCTACCTAACCTGCTGTGCCCCAGTCTCTGATCAAATGTTACCATGTCACCTCCTTAACAAAGGCTCCCTGGACCTCACCTGGGACCAGATCAAGCCTTGGGACCCATTCCGGGCACCCAGCCCTTCTCCTTGGCAGCACTCTTGCCTGTGGAAATCAGCTTTGTGATTAGCTAGGCAATGTTTTGCTCACCTCCCAGGGCACATACTCTGAGCTCAGGCTCTCTCTCGTGCTAGAGGTGGTGGGTCTTTGGGCAGCTGCTACCTGACCCAGGTCTGGCCCTGCCTGGTCATTGGCCCCATGTCTGACCCCGGACCCTTTCACCAAAGGCTCGTTTGACTTCTCTCCTCTTCCCCCCTCCTCCCTCCTTCCCCCCTCCTTCCTTCCTCACTCCCTCTCTTTCTCTCTCCCTTCCTCCCAGCCCCAAAGCAGTTGCTGATCTAATCCTTCATTCTAGGCCCTACACAGGGGCCCTGGGGTTCTCTGATGCTGCTCCTGACCACAGGGCTCCTAGCTTCCTGGGGGTGATGAGTACAGTGAGAAGGAAGAGCAGCCTGCTGGGTGTCTGGGGTGGGCAGTCAGGGGAGGCTTTTGTCCCCAGCTGCATTTTGAAAGATGCATAAGATCTTGCCAGGAGAAGTCGAGGAAACAGCACTCTGAGGACAGGGCAGCTTGTGTGGGCATCCAGAGCATTCTAGGGCTGTAGCAGCAGACGGGCAGGGGGAGGGAGGCAATAGGTAGAGCTGGAGATGGAGCATGGGCATGGCAGCGTGCCTACACACTCCTCCGCAGCCCCATGTGCCCCTTGCTACAAAGTGTTGCTGCTCCTCTTGTCGGGAGCTCAGATCTGCTTGCCCACCTTGAGTCTGGGCCTGGCTGGTGACTTGCTTTGGCTAAGGTGACAGTAATAACATGACACAGGCAGGGCCTTGAAAAGTGCTGTGCATGGGACCAGCCCTTTCCTGCTGCTGGGAGACCTGTGACCCGCACAACCAGAGAAGCTCAGGCTGGCTTTCTGGAGCATGTGAGACTATGTGAACAGAAGCCCCAGCCATCCAGAAGTTCCCTTTGACACCCATACAGGTGACTGAGGTCACCGGGAACCACCCAGTCCCGGTTGAGCCAACCTGGACTGGAAAAACTGCCTCGCTGATAGCAGAATCATTGAAAATACACTTTTGTGTTTTAAGCTCTAGTTTCAGGATGGTTTGTTACACAGCAAAAGCTAACTGATACACATGAGAGGGAGTCACACTGGGAAGGGGAGGTGACTTCAGTGCTACATCAAGGGACCTGGACTTCATTATAGTGATTCTACTGGTGGCTCTGGAACCTGGTGGTCTGTGTTCAAATCCCAGAGCTGCTACTGCTCAGCCGTGGGGCCTTGGGCAGGTCATTTCATGTCTCTGTGTCTCAGTTTTCTCATCTGCTGAGTGGGGACAGTGAACAGTGACTGGAACATGGTAAGTACTCAGGAAATATTGGCTGATTTTTGACCTCACGTCGTGGTTGCTGATTGCTGCACCTGCAAACTCCGGGGCTCCGGCCCATGTCACCTGACCTCCAGGACAGGATGAGATGCTAGATGTGGCCCCTAACTATTTGATGTATGTTGTTGCCAGGCCATTCTGTGAGTCTCTTGGGATGTCTGCTCCTGAGCCTCCAGCCAACTCAGGCCCATCCAGATGCTCTGTCTCATAGCTAAGACTCACCTGGTTTTCAAATCAGCACGTGTAGCACGCACAGGGCTCCGGGCAGAGCATCATTCCGCAGGCACATGAGGTAATAGCCATATTGTTATGTTGTTTCTCCAAATACCTGGAAGCCTTGGGTAATGCTGTGTTTAAATGGAGCATCAGAAAAATTTAGAGATGACATCAGTGTTTCCATGACAGGCTGTTTGGCTTTATGAGAAGTTAGTAAAGCATTGAACCAGCTCCAGTTATGGGGGCTGCCTCGTCTGGTCTGGAAGAGATGCGTAGACACTCTCCACCAGTGTTCTCCTGAGCCTCAGAGCATGAGGATCCCAAGGATGGTGGCACTAAGAGAGGAGGCTAGGGGGTCAGTGAAACCAAAGGGGTGGAGGTGAGTGATGTAGGAATCAGGGGGTTATGAGCATTTATTTCATCCTTACAATTCAATGACAAGGAAAACTGTGATTTTCCCCAATGTACAGATCAGAAAACCAAGACTCAGAAAAGCGAGACAATGTATCTGAGGTCACCAGGCCAGTAGGTGATCACTGCAGCGGTTCTGACCAGGACAAACTGGTCCAGGCCTGTACTATGCCCTTCCCCACCCACAATCTGGTGTAACCCTCACTATGGCCTATAAGGCAGCCGTTACAACTCCCTGTTTATAAATGAAGACACAGAGACTCAAGGTCACAGAGCTCGGGAGGACTCAGGCTTTGAGTTTCTGTGTCTCTGGCCCCAAAGTCCACATAACAGATGCTCCCCATGAGTCTTTATTCTTCCTTAAACACATAGGGGAGAACAGCAAACCTGTTTCGGCAACAAGATTGCAGCCTTATTCCTTGGAGGTCCAGAGCAGACTGGAAGAACCTACTCCTAATCTGAGCTGTTGGGTACAAGGAGTCCGGGAGAGTCGCAAGTCCTGGTCTGGTTCCCCAGAGCAGGAGCCCCCACGGGAATTTGCAGCTGACACCTATGTGCTCAAAAATGATGTGTATTTTCTGGAATTGCTGGTGTGTGTAGACATCCGGAGGCAGGGGGATCCCTGGGTGGCGCAGTGGTTTGGCGCCTGCCTTTGGCCCAGGGCGCGATCCTGGAGACCCGGGATCGAATCCCACGTCGGGCTCCCGGTGCATGGAGCCTGCTTATCCCTCTGCCTGTGTCTCTGCCTCTCTCTCTTTGTGTGTGTGTGTGACTATCATAAATAAAAAAAAAAAATAAGGAAGAAAAAAAAGACATCCGGAGGCACTGTGTTGAATCATGGCTCTGGTGATAATAATAATAATAATAATAATAATAATAATAATAATAATATAAATAACAACAGCAGCAACAACAGTGACAGCTACTTTGTCAAGAGCTTGTTTGGAGAGGATGGACATCACAGAGCACAGCTGTACTTTCCACCTGGAGAAATGGCAGCATTTCCCCAGCATACTGGGGGTGGAAACGATGCTGCTCCCCCTTTGACAACTGCCAGCAGTCTGACCCCAGGATAAGTGAAGCCTGTGCATAATCCATGTGGGGCGCCAGGGGCAGGAAGTGCTGCATGGCATGGAGAGGGCAGGCTCGGGGCAGCCTACCCAGCTAGGAATCCTGGCTGTATCACTTACCAGGTGTGTAGCCTTGGGCAAGTAATGCCACCACTTGGCCCTCCGTTTCCTCATCTGCGGAATGGGACAATGATGTTCCTGTATCATAGGATGCTGTGAGGATAAAATGAGCTTATACAAGTGGCATGAAGAGAGCCTGGAGTCTAGGAGCACTCAGTAAATGTCACTAAGTGTTCTGCTTCCAGCCAAGATGGAATAGCAGGGGCCACACTCACTTGCATGCCTGCAACAACTGGAAACAGGACAAAATCTATGAAATGGCACTAAGTCATTAGTCATTGAACAACAAATGAGAGTGACCCCTGAAAGAAAGGGAATAATCTCCTTTGTTTTCTCCTGTTGACTGCCTCAAGGGAGGTCAGAGGCTCAGGGTCAGAGTAGGGGAATTGAGGCTGAACTGGGTTGTCTGAGGAGACCACGGTAGAATGCTTGGGATCCCAGGTGGAGTACCAGAGATGAGAAAATTTGGAGATGAGATGAGAGCACAGAGAGACATCGCTGGTTCGCAGCTGCCTGCTTAAGGCTGGTGTGTGAGGAAGCTGCCCGGGGCTGGGGAAACTTAGCCAACAGGAATTAAGGCACAATCGTGAAACTCAGGAGTTCCTACTCCCACCAGGGTGGAAAGCCAGGTCAGCCATGGGCACTGGTTAAAGTATTCAGAAAAGTCTTGCATCAGGAGCAGAGAATTGGCCCCAGACTGAATGCTGCTCTGTGTGTGTAGCAAAGTTTAAAAGCAAGACTTAAAAGATTCGTGTCCCTGTTACTTAACTGTATCCCAGAACAATTTTTAAGAGTATTTATAAGAATACAAAATATCAAGTGCCCCAAAAGACAAATTCACAATGACTAGCATTTGATAAAAAGTTTCTATGCAAGCAAAGAAGCAGGAAAACATGACTTATAGTGAAGGTAAAAACCAATCAATCAACCCTGACTTGGGCACCTGAGTGGCTCAATGGTTGAACATCTGCCTATGGCTCAGGTCATGATCCGGGTTCTTGGGATTAAGTTCCCCATCAGGCTTCCAGGGGAGTCTACTTCTCCCTCTGCTTGTGTCTCTGCTACTCTCTGTGTGTCTCTCATGAATAAAAGAATAAAAAAATCAAAACTGACTTAAAACTGACCCAAATGATATGATTAGCAGACAAGGGCTGTTATTAATACACTACTGAATATTTAGAAATATAGGAGAAAGATTGGAAATGATAAGTTGGGCCATGTTGGATATACAAAAGACCAAAACTGAACTTGCAGAGTTGAAAATCACAATGTGTGAGATGAAAACTATGCTGGGTGGTCGTAATGGCAGAGACGTTGCAGAAAAGAGATGGGCTAACTTTACATAGAAAGGCAAATTACCCAAAATAAAACACACAGAGAAAAAGAATAATAGAAGAAATGAACAAATCATCAGTGAGTTATGGGATGGCCTCCAGCTGCCTACCACATACCTCACTGAGCAGGTCAGAAATACACTTGAAGAGGTAATGGTCATTTTTCCTCCAAATTTTTTTTGGCTACTATTAATCTATAGGTTCAAGACGTGCAACAAACTTTAAGCACAAGAAACATGAAGAAAATTATACCAAGGCAAATCATAATAAAATGTCTCCAAACCGGTGATAAAGAGAAAATCTTAAAAGTAACCAGAGGGAAAAAAAAGACATGTTACTTATAAAGGATTTATAAGCACTTAAAAACAATTTATATGTAGAAGCAAATGTGTGACCATCTTAGCCCCGAGAGTGGAAGAGGCTGTTGTAAAATTCTTACCCTGTGAAGTTGTTTACTATCACCTGCTAGTTGGCCATGGGAGGTTAAAAACAAATACTATCCATGCAAAGGCAAAGACCAAGATAACAAAACGAAGGGGCACCCGGGTGGCTCAGTCAGTTAAGCATCACACTCTTGATCTCAGCTCAGATCCTGATCTCAGGGTCATGAGTTCAAGCCCTAAGTTGGGCTTTAAAAAAAAAAAAGTTTAACAAAGTAACAAAACAAAGTTATTTATAACTCAGAAGCCAACAAAGGGGATAAAATAGAATAATAAAAATTACCCCCTTATTCCAAAAGAAGGTAGATAAGGTGGGAAACAGGATCAAAGAAGAGATGGAAGAAACAAAAAACAAGAGGGCAAATTTATTTTATTTTGTTTGTTTGTTTGTTTGTTTTATAAATTTATTTTTTATTGATGTTCAATTTGCCAACACATAGAATAACACCCAGTGCTCATCCCATCAAGTGCCCCAAGAGGGCAAATTTAAACCCCACCATATCAGCAATCACGTTACATGGATCCAAAGAAAAGGCAGAGACTATCATATTGGATACAGAAGCAAGACCCAGCTACAAGGAGCCTATGAGAAACTCATTTTTAAAAAAGATTTTATTTACTTATTCGTGATAGACATAGAGAGACAGAGAGAGAGAGAGGCAGAGACAGAGGCAGAGGGAGAAGCAGGCTCCATGCCAGGAGCCCGAGGTGGGACTCGATCCCGGGATTCCAGGATCACGCCCTGGGCTGAAGGCAGGTGCTAAACCACTGAGCCACCCAGGGATCCCCGAGAAACTCATTTTAAGTAGAAAGATAGCAATAGGTTAAAAGTAAGGGGTGGGGGATCCCTGGGTGGTGCAGCGGTTTGGCGCCTGCCTTTGGCCCGGGGCGCGATCCTGGAGACCCGGGATCGAATCCCACATTGGGCTCCCAGTGCATGGAGCCTGCTTCTCCCTCTGCCTGTGTCTCTGCCTCTCTCTCTTTCTCTCTCTGTGACTATCATAAATAAATAAAAATTAAAAAAAAAAGTAAGGGGTGGAAAATTATATACCATGTAAGTCTAATCAGAAGGAAGCTGGAGCAGAAGAACAATAACAGATAAAGTAGACCTGAGTGCAAACAATGGTACCAGGGATAAAGAGGGGGCATTTCATAATGACACAGATGTCAATTCATCAAGAGGATGTACCAAGCATTACTATTTGGGACCATAATAACAGAGCTTCAAAATGCATGGGGGAAAAGTTAGGAAGCTGCAAAGATAAACAAATCCCCCCTGGAAGGTGGTCACAACACCCCTCTCTCAATGACTGAGAGAACAAATGGACAGAAAATTAGCAAGGGTGCAGAAGGCTTGGACAGCGCCAGCAACAAACCTCACCTAATTGGCATTTATAGAACATTCTACCCCACAACGGCACAATACACATTGTTTTTCAAGGGCACGCAGAACGTTCACCAAGACAGATGATATTCTGGGTCGTATAAAACAAGTTTCACAAATTTTAAAAAGATACAAGTCACACAATGTATGTTCTCTGACCACAGTGGCATTCAATTAGAAATCTGTAAGAGAAAGAGGTCCGGAGAATACCCTAGTATTTGGAAGCTAAGTAACACGCTTCTAAATAATGCGCGGTACAAAAAAGAAATCCAAAGGCAAATTATAAAG